AGCTCGTTCCACTAGACTACCGATAATCATTCGTTAGCTCAAATATCGCAATTACAACACTATGCTTGGTTTCTGGAAAGCCTCCTTGGTGCATTGCAGCAGCAAGAAGAAAGATTGCGTTTCAGCTTTGGCGATGCTTTGTTTGCTGGGCAAGGGTCTGTGCTTGGCCTTTCCCTCTAGACTTATAGTACTCATTCAGTAGCGATCCCTGGATGGTTAGGAGTTTTGGCACTTTCACCTCGAGTGCTCAATTCGTACTTTTTTTAAAATGATTTCATCAACCTTTTAGAAATCAAGGAATATGTATGACGATGAGTGGTGAGCGCTCTACCGTTGTATTCACTGCTATATCGGAGGCAATGGTCGATTTGTTGAATAAAGCGTACTGTAGGTTGACGGATATTGGTAATTGTGTAGTCTTTTTATTTTGTCGCTTCAATAGCATGCTTTGATGTTATAGACTGTATATCCAGGAGTGCTGGAGTGATATACAAAATCTCGGTTCTCAGGTGGGAGTTTAACCCGCATCTCACCCTTCACGTGATCGCGTGCTAGCCACTGTACCATTGAGACTTCTGTTCAGTAATCACTGGCTCACTCTCTACCGACGCGCTTCCGGAAAAGGTGAGACGTGGGTTCATTTCCTCCACGAGTTTTAAAAGTTTTTGCATGTCACTCAACATTCTTGGATGTATTGTTATTAGACCATCACGTTTGTCTGAAATGTTGACCTCCTCTAGTGCTAATGGTGGTTCTCTTTTCAGGATTACATCCGAACTTCAGAAGTTGTAATTAAACAGTACTAACTAAATGAAATAGAAGTACTTTGGCCTGTTTATTGATCTAAATCTGCCTCATTTGATCTGAAACTGTAGTAATTTCACACTAGTTTTACAAAGTTTTAAACATAGTGTCAATGTTTCATCTAGGAAATTAGCTACTCACTCGGAATATCAACCTTATTTTGAGTATTCCTCCGTAACCTTTTGCTTGTTATTTCCTTCTGTTTTGTTCTGAAAGATGTCCTGAGAACGCCTTGTGTTAATTTTGATTACGCCATTGTATTGGAGTTGATATTTATATTATTTTATATGTGTTGTGCTAAAATGCTCGTTGTCTCTTTTTCTTTGTGTATTGAAAGGATGTTCTTACACCTTCAGTGCTCGGTGTTCTAATGTAGTCCACTGTGGCGTTAGTTATGTCGCAGTCTCATAGCTATGCATTTATCCCAATGCATGTGTTCCCCAAAATGATGGTTTAGCTAATCATATGTGACATTACATAGGACTGTATCAACTGAGATAAGAACTATTAGAGGTATGATTCAATTAGGTCAGGTCGATTGGGACTGTTTTGTCGGGGGATTTTATCTTCTGACATGCGGTAATCTTGTAAATAATCCGGGGTGGATGCTCATATTTAGGAGGTATATCCTCCTGCAAGGGATTGACTGAATCGATAGGTACCGTGCCAGTGACTAGGCTACAAATCGAAACACGTGTGTAGAACTGGGTAAGCACGATGTCAGACCTCATGAAGTTTTAAGATATAATATTACATTATAAAACCCTTAGATTTTACAGATCATCCTGAACAAAGTCTAAACCTTCGTTTCACATCGACGGGATCTCTGAGGCCTATAGCAGTGTTAGGCTGAAGAAAAGTTTCCTTAACACTCGTTGAAAATTCAAAGTTTGTACATAAATTCAATTGAAGGTATAATAATTATTCCTCAAATTGAAGACCACCATAATCCGCGATCTTCTGCCAATGATCTGCAAACCTCCGGATTTGGTTGAAATCACGATTCCTTGACGTTTGAATCAAAAAACTTTTTACATGCCTCTTCAACTTGATCAAATGTGTCGAATCGGCGTCGACGCGAAAAATGTACCATCGAACGGAAAGATCCATAATCGGATGGCCCAGCATCTGGACCGTAGGCTGAGTGCGGTAAGACCTCGAGTCCTTCCAATTCATTAGACTCTCACTTAGTGTTCTTTACAGTGTGAGGTTTCACGTTGTCTTGCCGAAACAGCGCACTTACGGCGAATCAGTATCGGGTACTTTTCCTTCAACGCATATGGAGTTTGTTATGGAAATATTCCTGAGATATTCCCATGGACTTACAATAAACGATAATGCGTGAAATGAACATTAATTTTGAATTTTTCGCCGGTTGTTGAGGAGCTTTTCCTCAACGTAGTAAATTTGTAACCGTCCTTGGAGATAATTGTGGATTGGTACAGGCGCCTTCAAAACTAAGGATTTCATGAGCTTAATTCATACTGTTAGAAAAATATGACCTTTATATTCTGATGGTGTTCATTTGACAATTAAGAGAACTGACTGGGTTGATTTTCGACTTTTTAAAAAATTTTTGTGCTGAAAAAATGACCGTGGTAAATTTTGTTTACTAAGAAAAATTGTTGCCTGTGGTGATGAGAGGTTATCCACATTGCCCTCGCGCTTTTCGCGCAGCCTCCTTCAAATGGGCGATGTGCTGGTGAGAGGATGAATCTTCAGTTACAAATTATAGCTCGATAATTAGTAAACTATTGGAATGGTTGAACAAAATGGGAAGCATATGCTCTCCAATAATCATCTATAAGGTTTTTTTATGTAAATTGCATCCATACTTAATCCTCTGGGGGCCACGTGCCACAAGACATAACCCACCGCGGACGTCGCATCTCACTCAGCTACTGTAAGACGGCGGTCGCGTCTCGGAGCAAGGCAGAGTGGCAGGCATCTGCAAGACGATCGACCTGCCGGTGCTGTATGTCTGCGATTGTCGCGCGAGCGTCCAGCGCGACGCCGCCGGCTATTAGCGGCGGTCCCATAGAAGGTTAAGCGAACCATCTTCACACGTGTCGGTTTCAGCGCTTTTCCTTTCGTTTCTTTGTCTTGGAAATGTAATCGTTGAAGAAGCCCGTTGCATGCGGATGTGGATTCGATTCCAACTTCACCCATTCCGCTCCTCATAGGCACTGTAGGCCCATGCGTAAATCGACCGCCTTTGAAGACAATCAATTGGACAGCTTTTCTGGTCTAGAGACTTCTTTTTTCTCGTTTTTTCCTTTTTAAATATTAAATAGTGGAACAATTGCGTTTCTGAATAGGATTTTTTGATTATAACTGTGTATTCTATAGCTGGTTCTATGTAAATTTGTAACTATTTTTAATTTGCAAAAACGATTTGCTATGCATAAAAAAGGATAGCGGATGTTTCGGCTACGACAGCTTGAAGTGCTTGATCGCCGACGATTCAAAGATCCTTGCTTTCTTGTCCTTGCTGATATTTTTTCGTTATGCTTGCCATGTTTCGAACCCCTCAAGAAAACGCAGTTTTAGGCTTTCTTAAAGTTTTAGAAGTCGTTCGATGAGATTTTGAATGGTTGTACCTTATTTTCAAAGTGGAAAAGTATCTACTTGTTTATAGTTCGGAAGTAGATAGTGTTTTCGTGTGGAATGCGTTCCAGTCAACAATGTTTGACTACTCGCTTAAAAATTCTACATAGTCTGATAGAATGTTTCTGAGTATTTTGAAAAAGTTGGTATGGCCACTCTAGGGGTATACGTGCGTTCCGGCGTTGTCACTCGCCTCATCGGTACCACATGACCTACGGCTCACTACTACTATTCGGAATCAGCACCGAAAATGTATTACTCTTAACGAAGTGCAAGAATCACTTGTTCAAATGCTCAGTTTCTGTTACAACAAAGCACGGTGGGCTACTATTTGTTAATCAAACAGAAATATTTATTCAAGCGCCTTTTGCGGTGTTATAATGTTAAAATATACTCAGTGATGCAGAGTGATGTGCAAAATAGATGCGCTGTAGCGTAGAAAGAGTGGTGTGCAAAATGGGCGTTGGTAATGCAACGGGTTACAGCACACGCTTCCGGATAGAGTGAGATGTGGGTTCGAGTCCCGGCTGACGCAAAAGTCTTACACATCACTCTGCATCACTGAGTATTATTTATTAATTTCCTGCTGAAACAAAGCGGTGAAAGACATGTTAGAAGTGTGGAGCTCTGCTTCCCATAAGGAGCTTGACCTCTTTATTCTGCATATGGAAAGTTTGTGGTTGCTCGCGGTGACGTGTGGCTTGAGTCCTCGCGACAAGATATGAATTTATTTCATGTTTAACAGTAAAATCCTCCTCAGAACAATGTATTCTGCTGACATTGTTTGGTGCTGGAATTGACATAAGATTCCGTGTACACTTCAACGAACGAGGAAACTGACATATACTGGTCTGTCAGTTCGTGTGGTCACCATCTGTAAATTACGGTTTTACGTTAAGAAAAAAGACCCTTATTATGAGCTATTTCTTGCAAAGTTTGCAACAGACGATAACAAATGAGACGTGCTCTACGATCGTTCAAGAAACCGATCCACAACCAAGATCACCTTAGACATATGACACCGGAAAGTCACTGCGAATGTATCAGTGAAAATTTTGGAATAGGGGAAAAAAAGTAATGCAGATTTTTGTACTTCTCACAAAATGTTGACACTTTTTACTTTTGACACTTTAGTGATCCATCTTCACAAACTCTTTTTTCACTGTGAAGATGCCAGTACTAGCATTCAATTCGTTTTTTTTTTCGTTTTCTTTTTGAGCTTTGTTGAATACTGATTGAACACGTCTCTTTGTAATCTCGAGAATAGCTGACCGTGTCGTTCCAAAGAGCGCTCGTCGCTGACTGGCGAACAGTGCTGGGTGGGGTTGCTCTCCGCCGCGTCGCAACGATCATCGAAGCCACTCGGCCATGCCCTTTCCACGAAGATATATATATTATATTATATATATTTATATATATATACATATAATATATATATAATGTTAGATTACCAGCAGGGTATGTGTAACCTCCAGACGAATCAAAGGGATAGATAATGCTCGAAATTTTTAGTATGTTACTGCATTTTTCGCAGTGTTTTGATCATTCATATATTTCTAAGAAAATTGGAGTGTGTGAGCAAAAACCACGGCCTCAGGCGAGAATCGAACCCGCGTTTCATCCGTGCCGGGAACGCGTGCTCTACAACCTGAACCACCGAGGCACATTTGCGCCACCACTCATTCTTCAACATCTCTATGTTAGCTATGAGCCAGCAACCTTTAAACCACCGCGGTTTATAAAGCGAAATCGCATAGCCGACCAAACCTGTTAGAGGTTGGTGGCTGATAGCTAACGTAAAGATGTTGAAGAATGAGTGGTTAGCGCAAATGTGCCTCGGTGGTGTATTGGTAGAGCACGCGTCCTCGGATAGGATGAACGCTGATTCGATTTCAACCCTGAGGCCGTATTTGTGCTCACCACTCAATTGTCTTTAGAATATACGAAGTAATAGAGAGTTCAAATGCAATATAAAGACGAGAACGGCTGGAACAGTGTGAAGGCGGATGAAAACGAAATTGATGTGTTCGCACAGTGTCCATGGTTGATTGCGGTTGACATTGACGTTACTATGTCGTTATCATCTAGATCATTTTCGTGCGCATTTCTCGCTCTATAATCTTGTTGCTATTGACTTATTGCTTGCCGCTTCTTTGCATCTATTTTAGACTTTGGAAACGATGTTGACTGGTGCAAAAGTAATTTCATTTCAGCAACGTGAGCTTAAAATAAGTTGTAAAGCAACAAAGACAGCTTGCAACATCAACACCTCCTTTCGTTTAGGAACTTCTGACGAACGTACAGTGCAGTGGTACTTCAGGAAGGTTTATAAAGAAGACACTTTCAGCAATGCGTAGACAACACTCAGTTTTGTATCAACATCATCAAGAGCCATGCGAAAGCGCAATCATTAAAACTAATGCTTCTAAGACTACACAAGATGTTGCAAAGGAATTCAACATCGACCATCTCATCACTGTCGCCGTTTGAAGCAAATTACAAAAGGAACTGCGATTGGAGCGCCACCTGTAATCGCAATTACTTTTTTATCAACCTCGTACTCGCCGGGTGGTTGTCGGTAGCACTGATAGGACGGAAATATAGCCGGGTGAAAAACAAAGTAAGGGCCTTGGTAGTGTAAGCGGGAGACAACCAAGTCACCGGAAGGGGTGATCGCTGATTTGACGCCCATTTTGAGGTCTTGAGTTTTGCTCGTATCACATTTTTGATGTTATAAAAAGTATACAGTTTGGGAACAATTTGCATGGTTAAGACGAAAAAGTAAAATCTTTTCAATAGATTCGTATAGTTTAACTCATATTTTGATGGTAAAGAGGTTGTTACCTTGAACGAACCGAAGTTGGCTGCTATCGCTGATCTACATTTCCGTTAAAGTTAAGACTATGCTGAATTAGGTCAAAAGAGTAAGCAGAGAAATAGAAGTGCAAATAGAAGCAACTTCTAGAGATTGCAATTTTCTTATGATCAAAGTGGCATTACTCCCAGCGCATCGAAATCAATGCAACACTGGACCAATCGTTTTTAAAAATCTCAAAGCCTTGAATGATTGACCCCTAGTCGTCACCGATGTTCATCGATGCTGACGAATTTGTAAGAAGATGTGAGAAAAATTACAAGCATCCATTCTAATAGCATTCGTTCTGATATCACGCTATAATCTGTTTCTAGTAATGAGAATAAATGTATAATTGGGAATTCATTAATGAGTCACATTAGTATAGCTCGATATCCATTGAGTCATTGTAGTCGTAATGAAAACAACACGTTGGCATTGTGTCAACACTTTCCTAATAATGCCTGCTTTGCACGGTATTTAGAAGAATGAGCTAAGATGATCTATTTCCAGATAAAATCTTTGGTTTATCTCTTCGTTTTTCCTCACCTCCGAAGTCAACTAGTTGCTTAATAATAGTAAGATTTATTTTTAGAACCTAGTAGGAAATGAAATGAGCCTTGATTGAAAAAAACGTGAGACCAATGTGTGTCTAATGAATGTGAAATCTGTTCACCTTTGGTCAAAGCAATCACCGGCAATTTAGTGTTGTTTTCAGCGTTCCTTAGATCCATCCCTATTTTCTTCTACTTTCATAGAAAATTCAAAGACATACTTCACATATTATTCAGATCTCAGTACTAGTTTGACTGTTTCATTTCCTTATAAACGATAATATACGGGAATTTAGGCTAACACACAGTTGGTATAAGGGACCCATTTATTCCACCAACGCTCCGGCGATTTCGTCTTCTTCAGAGCTGCATTGACCAGAGGTGATTGTGCAGAGTGAGACGCTGTCGCGATGTGGGTATTCCTAATCGGACGAGTCGAATTCAATGGAGGGAGCACTGCCCGAAAGAATTTTACATTCTCTGGTGCCTATAATAGAGGGTAATGCGTAATTAACTGCCTGTATTCTATGACCTGCTTTCTGGGAGCACCGTATTGTGTAGCAGTTGGCATATTTCATAGCTGCCAAATGGTATGGTAATGTCTCAAAAATCGACAAAGATTGAATTCACTCACAAAGAATCGACATTATCCGAGATCCATGGGCCAACACGTGGTTGATAAAAACACTTATTTATTTGGCTAAGATTTCGAACAATATGGCTTTGAAGATGGTGGAAGCGTCGAAATTTTAGCGTATGAATAAAGTTCAATGCCAGTATATGTTTAGATCGTTCAGGAAATTATTGGTTACCTGTGCCGAGGTTTGAAGCAAGTCGGTTTCTTTCCGAAATACCTTATAATCATCAAGTAATTGTAACTTTCAAACCATTACCCGATTTATAAGGGGATAATCGAGATTTTCAATGATACCCATTGATAAAAAACATTGAAAATGCCGATTGCTCATGTGGCGCAGTGGTTATGAGGTGCTCTGCGTCGCACACGAGGTCAATGGTTCGATCTCGCACTCATGGCTCACCTAGCCATCCATCATTCCGGGGTCGGTAAATTGGTACCAGACTGGTCTCAGACTTCGTCTGGGAGGATAAACAGCATTGACTCGGTTCAGCGCGAGGCAACCGCGAGTCATTGCAAAGACCAGATATGCATTCAATCACCTCAAAGGAAATTAGAATTGAAGACGAATGCATGGCGCATCCTTCAGGGATTGATCAACGCCGAAGAGCTTTGTCCTTTATCCTTTAATCGAGATTAGCCCTACTACAGGATGTTCTCACGCCTCGAACACAGTAAATGTTGATGAAATATATCAAATTTCTAGTAAAATTTTTCTAGTACAGCAGATATTCTTGTAATAATCCGTGAGTCTACGAAGGAGATGTGACATGAAAAAACTGTAGCTTATTATCTATTTTATTCATTATTATGGCCTATAGCCATTTCACGACAGCCAATCCACCGCGTGCCATGCCAATTTGTAAATCGTGTCATAGCACGAAAGCGAATTCTCATTGGAATGAGAATGTGAGGAAAGAAAAACAATTTAATCAGTAGGCGTCGATTCTTTTATAGGGGATCATTTAGCCTCAGGAGATCGGCTGAGCCGAGGGAGTGGCTAGTACTGAACGAGTCCCAATAGAGCGAAACAGGTGCCTGCATAGCACTAGAACCTCACAGTTCAAACATGTTAATATCCTTATTCAGATACTACGCAGTATGCGGTGTGTGGCGCAGCTAACTCATTTCTTGAGATCGTTGCTGTTGATTAGTTTATGTTTTATAAGGCTAAAATCCAAAAAGTCGTGGTATACTTCAGTTGGAACAGTCCGTCCAAAACGTTCAATAGCTCCTGTACCCAATTTTGTGAACATGATCGAAAAGGTAAAGCAATTAACTAGTCAACAGGTTGAGTGACTTTTGCCATTATCACGCTGCCAAGATGAAATGGTAATGACCAATCGAGCAACGACCTATGAGTTTTACAGATTAAGGAAACTCAGTGTGCCTGTCCAAAGTATGAAATTGTAACTCCGAATATCCGATACGTGGGATTTGACGAATTAGTGAGAAAACTTGATGGATTATCACAAGACTGTGTCTGTATATGCTTCCTCCTGTGTTTGATATGGAAATTTAAGCGTCACAACTTTTGGTGTAATCTGATCTACAAAATAGGAAAATGTAGACAATCTGAGGTTTTATCTATATGAATAGACAAATGAAGAAATTGAATAGACGAACAATACAATGTTCTGAGGTATAATACGCTATTTATTCGAAGGAAATCGTTACAAAGATGCGTGCATATAGCATAGTATGTGATATAAGAATTTATTTTATACCTCTCACTTTCCAAGCTCAATTTCGAAATCGTTTTTGAAGGTGATCAACTATGTGCTCACCTAAATTGACTGCGAAATGGTCCACTACTATATGTATCCTGGAGGGACTCTTTCGAATTGCTAAACATTTCGAACTCTAGCATATCAAATTTTTTGCAGTTTAATAAATTGTATGGATCTAGAGTAATTTCGCGCGAGAACCAAATAACTTCGTAGAAGTGTCTTCTGCAGTGCTACATCAAAGTTTGAGCTCAAGTGATTTCTTGTCGTAGAAATAGATGATGAAGATGTCGAATTTTTTCAATGCTCTAACATAAAGTTTGTTTATATATGACGGTGAATACTAGAATTTCCAGTTCTTAGAGCTAATCCACATCGGATTGTGGACAGAACGAAGAAGGAATCTTGGACGCATTTTAATGATGTGGGGATTCTTTTCAACACAGGTTTGACAAAAGCTTTGATTACAGATAGCCGAATTATAATCAAACTTGAGGTAGACAATAAGCAGTGACTGGCTTGGAAATTTTTTATTATGAACTAAGTACTGGATTAGCTTATCAAGAGATGAGTGATTCTCGACATCAAGGTCTAAGGAAGTAATGGAATAATAAGGGTTCTTGGTTGCCTCACTCATAATTAGCGTTTGATTTTCAAAACCTAAAGCTAGCCTAATGGCTGATAGAAAAGCTCGATAAGATTATAGATCAGAAAACGAAGTTGTAGTCCTGTGGTTGACGAGTCTGCTCGATTAGTTCTCTTCGAAGTCGTTCGATATATTGCGCTGTATTCTCGCCTTGATCGGACACAATGCGTGGTCGTCGTCGTGCTTCATGTGGACGTTCGTTGTGAACTGATGGCCTTCGTGATCCTCCCGGATGCTGTCGATCGCCCCGATGAAGTGAATGTGAACGTACTCGGAACAGACATTCGATCGACTTTGAGCGCGTCTGAATATCAGGAGTTGAGTAGGAGTTTCGTTGGAGTTTTTTCTCAAAACTGACTTTCAAGTAATCACGGTGTTGATAGTTAGGTGTTTATTCTCTTGATAAATTGGTACGGGTTATTATGCGATATCTACTGCGTCTCATTTGATTTCTGGACAGATTTTCTCAACTTGCTACTTCGTTTGGA